ATAATCATGTTTGACATGACGTAAAAATAAAATCTGGTTAATATAAATTGTGATCTTTGATGGTGAGACCAACAATTAATGGCTTGACGTTTAGAAAAATTATGAAACTACTAATTCTGATAGGAACGAGGTGAACGTTGTGCGAAGCATCTGTAACTTGGTCTGACCGTAGCTCGTGCATAAAAATACCATGGACCATATTCTAATAAAGGGTAAATCGAGTCCTACGAGACGACGGCGAACCTAACACCGTTCGCTTGAAAAGGCCGAACAAAAGAAAAATCGATCGTCTGCTAGGAGATATCGAGACGCGTTCACGCGCGCGAGGTTCCATTAAAACCGCCGCGCCGTTCCACGCTCCTGAAACTGACACCCACCCTGAAAAACGAGAGTGTCGTTGCAGTTTCGAGAGCACCGACGGAAAAACAACGAAGCGGCGCGGGCAAAAGCTGAATCATATCCCGACAATGGTGGAAAAAGGGAATTCGCGGAAAAAAACTGGCGCGGAAAAAAGCTGGTCAGCGAAAGAAAAGAATTAGATTTCGTGTTACACGATCGGATATACGGTATAAAAGAAAAAAGATTATCTGTACAGCAGGGCGCATTTATGCTCGCATAAACGAACTATTCATGTTGACAGGAATTGAGAAGTCGTCTTTTTTGATAGGTTTCGTTACAGTACATTGTGATATCGGTACATAAGTCAACTGGACGCTTTTTTCTTTTAATTCATTGGATACAGGTCGTTAAAATAATTTTGGAAACATCCATTCGTGTTTGAGTAACAGGATTCTGTTATAAACGATATAAATACAATCGCGCAGGGAATTGGATACTTAAGAAGAAAGATTTAAGCACAGTTTGCGTTCCGACCTTTTTATCGTTCACTATGAAGGAAACTAACAATCATGAATTCAAAGGGGGAGATACAAATTGCTGGAATTCGAAGCTGGAAATGAAGTCCTTTAGAGGACAAACGAGACGTGTGCTAAGGACAGAGAGAAACGAGGGTAAACGGAGGGTGGAAAGGAGAAAAGGTAAACGAGTAGTCCTAGATACGATCCTTTGCCTCGAGTATTCCAAGACGCACCGGTGGGAAAGTGGTCCCTCTCTTTTTTTCTTACCCCCCGTTTCCCCCGAATCTCTCTACCTCTCTCGCTCGCTCTTTCCCAAGATTTTTTTCCTCAGTGGAAAAGTTTCCGGCGCGCAAAAGGCGACAGAAGAACAATACCTCGGCGCGCGAGTAATTGCTTCGGCACAAGAATGCAATATTCCTCTGTCTGCAACGATTGCGAGCGCATTTTTTTTTTTCTCTTTTAAAGCCGGGGTTCATCCCCTCGGTGACGTCCGCATGCCAGTCTGATGTCTTATTACCAGCAAGAACTCGCGTCCCTCCGCGTCTCGGTGAATTTAATACAAACACCACGGAATAACGTCGTTGCCTTTCCGTTTCGCGGAGCATTCTTCGCGGAATAGTTTAATAAATTGTCTTGATCCATGCGCCACTTTTAGCCTGCCTCCAGAACATAAAAACATTCACTATTGAATACTGAACGCTCGCGCGAAAAAAATTTCACTTCATTTAGAGAATTTCATGTGCAGAGAAAAATAAATCTTTGTATTTCGTTTAAGGGAGATATCGAATAACATCCTCGATAACGAAAATATTTTGACGTTCGTAAGAATCAATATGAAACCGACTGCAAATATCTCTCACAGAAAAACTATCTGCTATAATCAAAAGATACTAGAATACGTGGAATAATATCCGATGATACATGCAAATCAAAAATATATGTACATGTTTTTTGTTAAATTTCGAATACATATAGAAATTTGCATGTTTCGCGATTTTCATGAAGCTCGTTTGAATTGCAAGTCGAATAAAAATCAGTCCCGACCCGCGGATTACCATAATATCGTTTTTATTTCCCCCGCCCCCGCGACGTTATAATTCCGTCGTTGCGAGGAATTAATACGACGCGGTACCGTGAAAAAGGTCAAAAGAGGCTGTAGATGGCAACGTCTTGCGGCGACGTAACCAGTTTAAGAGAGCCTGCGTTTATCGTCGTCTTTCATATGTAGATAGTGCCGGATGACGACGTTCGCCGCGTCGGACGAATAATTTTCAATCGAGGGGGAGTACTTCAGCCGACAGGGAAACGGCATTGGAAATTCGTCGAGGAGAACTCGATGTCGTGAGAACTCCTTACGAGGAAGGAATAAATTGAAACTTTTGTCTCGGGCCCAGTGGTTACAAGCTGTTGAGAGATAACGCGTGACGTTTGACTCGACCAAATCTGACGTTGGACGCGAACGAGGCATAGGCTTCCGCGTGCTATGCAAATAACGTATCGTCACTGCGAAATTTATTCATGGGCGCGACCACCCGCTGTTGCGCCTTCAAGGTTCACCCTTCGTTGGTCTCCCTCAAAATCGTAATGAATTTATGATCGTAGAAAAGTTAGAGCCCGAGTTAATCAGCGAAGCGAATCCAACTACCCTAACTTGTTCATTTATACATACCAATATTGTTCAAAACCTGAAGAATATATGTATAATTCGAAAATACTTCAGAAGTATGAATGCGATCTTTCAACTTTCAGACGAGCAAGATGTCACAAATCAAAGATCAAAAGCCATTGTGCAATACCCAATTACGCTCACTTGCCAGCAATTTAATTATCTCTTAGAACTATCAATCATTGTCCGAGTCAATTGAAATCTGGTTTGTAGCCAATTTCCACTAACAATGATCGTATAGTATACACTGGCTTCAAAATTTTCTCTTTTACTAATAGTACAAGATATTTTAATAAAAAAATAGCCTAATAAAGTAACGAATAAAAGACCGAGCAAGATGTATCAGGCTATCCAATTTCATCCAAAGACAATGAACGAAAAAGGACGGTACGAGGGTTAAGTACTAAAATGCTCAGACAGACATTTCACCTTGGGGACACAGGAGACAAAGTCCAGGTTTCAATCGGAGCATTAAGCCGCAGGTAGCCTCGTGGTACCGAGGAAGGCGTGTTGATTACCGTTGCAACGCGTCTCCAGGAAACAATGCGGACAATTTTATAGCCGGTGTACAACTAGCGCTCCCGGTCTCCCTTATACTTGCCGGGAACAATGGGTATTATGTAGCGTAGCGCGCACGCACGGAAATGGACACCCCCCTCCTGTTCCTCGGACTTGTTCGAACTAGTTGTAACTCACTGTTCAACTGTGCCCCGTTGACGAGCTGCGCAACAATTACGCTAATGCATTGTCCTCGGTTCCTTCGGCTAACGACTCTAAAACGATCGACGCCCGTCCCTCGCCGCCCCTTCCGCCCGGATCAATTAGACGCAACCCGGATTTGAGTCCGACTCTACTGCTACTCTAACGCTTAAAAGTTCACAGCACTTTATCATTGTCTAGCAACTTGGGAATTTTGTATTTGATAACAACGAACTGTAATATAATTAAAAATGAAATATGAAATTTATTATAATTTGTCTTTTGATAATCTATATATAAGCATTAAGTGAAGAAAATCATGCTGCAAACTTTTGGTATCCAACAGATTTTTAATCTATTGAAACTTGGTTTAAGGATGTATTGGCTATATACTTAAACAATGCTAACATGTTGAATTTGTTATTATAGATTCCTATTACTATTAAAAAGCTAAAATTATAGTGATTTCAAATTTTTCATAGGTAATAGTATCACCTACAACTTTTATTCAAAGCATTTGTCGAAATTCCGCGAAAAAAAAATTTTCGATTTTTCCGAAATTTTTCCAAGGGGTACCCCTTCAGATTTTGCGAAATTTTCGTTTTTTGCCAATAACTTCCAAACGGATGGACTTAGGGGGGCGTATTTAGGCTCATTTTGTAGAGGACGACGAGATCTACAATTTCCATGTAAAAATTCTTCGCTAGCGTCAATAGTTTACGAGTAATTTGCAAAAAACCGTTTTTTTGTTTTTCGTCCATAACTCGTAAACTATTAATGTTAGCGAAAAACTTTTATATGGAAATTGTAGGTCTCGTCGTCCTCTACAAGAAAGGTCCTATGCAATTTTCCCGTATCTCCAAGGGTTTAAGAGTTATTAAGGAAAAACGAAATTTTTTGTCAAAAGTTCGTCGTTTCGAC